TTATGGGCCCTAACAGATTTAGCTGGCTATGATCATCAACTTATGCCAAATTCTCTGAAACAGAGAAGAGATTTAACAAATGAATAAATAGGGAAGAAAAAAATTTAGTTTGAGTTGAATAGCTAGTTTTGATCCTTAACTAATGCCAAATTCTCCGAAACAGAGAAGAGATTGAGAGAAAAGTACTCAAATAAAAAAAGACTAATTACCTGAAACTAACCGCAGAGAGGGAGTAAGGTCATTGGCTTTGTTGAAATCGTTGTCCTCTCTAGCCCTGAGTATTTGAAAAACAAGGGCAAGCTAAAAACACGTCGCAGCACTCCGCTGGGAAATGAGCTGAGTTTCCTTCCAGCGACAATATTGGGATTCAATCATTTTAAACTTTCTGTGTGTAACTTTCTTTGCTCCTTAATGAATTTTTGCTGCTTAATTACCAATCTCTTCCTTCAACTTTCTAAGGCTTGGTTTTAACCTTTTCATCCCTTTGCCTTTCAAAAAAAAAAGAAAGTACTACTTTTCATCCCGGGTTGTGTCCACCTATGTTGGTTCGAGGATGTGAGTTTTGCCCTGGGGAGAATGGTGTGGCTGGGGAGAATGGTGTGGCCTTTTACTGGGGTTGGGAGATGGTGCTGCTGGTCCTGGATCTAATGGTGCGGCTGCAACTGGGATGGGTAACACGTGGCAATTTGAGTGCGTAGAAACTGGGTTTGTTGGTGGTGATTGTTTTGTCGGCCTGATCCTGTTATTTCCTTATAATTTTTTTTTTTACATTGAATAAGGAATTATACTATAAAAAATAATTTTTTTTAAACCTCTCTTCACCTGTTCTTAAATTTAAACTTGAAATTTTCAAAAAATTAAATTGTTAATTACTAAGATATCCCCATCTCCAGTCCCACAGGGGACGCTATTTCCTTGTACTTAGTTAATCACAGGGGTTCATATATTCTTGAAACATATTCCCTTGGCTGTGTGCGTGTTGACTTGGTGGGGATCGCGGGAACATGAACATCATAATAGGGGCAGCAACTGATATTTTTTTTCGATCCATTGCTCAGCCGTATCGGCCGAAACATATTGTCCCGGCCGGTACATTGCAAAAGCTATTTTTTATTTTATTATTATTATTAATTATCTTTTGTTTTCTTCCCTTTCCCCATTTTCGGCTACCGTATTCAACGAAAATGAACATCACAGCAATCCATAAACCCCACTCCTCTCCATCCACAATCCAAGCCAAGCAATCGCTACTGGTTAAATATTAGCTGAGAATGGAAGCATATTTTCGAACTCTTCTCATGAAATTGTACCATTGACAATGTTTTTTACTAAGCATATTGTTCATATGTACTCTCTGCATGGTGTTAAAATTGTTAATAGGTGGTTGGTGTTGGACTTTTGACATAAATGTCATTACAAAATACAAATTTAGAAAAAGTGCAAATTAGTCGTTGCATCGTTTCAAATTTTGGGGGAAAAAAAAAAGAGACAATGGTCTTTAACTTTCTCAGATTCTCAGATCAGTCCTTAAAACTAAAAATTATTGCTGAAGAATCATTAAAATTTTTTCTTGTCACAGCATGGTACTTAAAATCTCAGTAGAAAGTCTAGCTCCCATAGATGAATGGAAAGAGTTAAAAATCTTGATTCTTTCACTTTCATAGTGTGTGTATATATATATATATATATATATGAATGCAATGTATTACTCTTAGATGAAGAATGAATCCTGGCATTGTGATGTTGAAGAAAACTTGGAGAAAGAGAAAAGGGGAATTGATTTGGGGTTTGAGTTGGTGTATGTTGAAGAATTTTACTGATCTGTTTCTTTTGGGCAGTCCACTGGTTGCTTTGCTCTCAAAGACTACGCGTGTTGAAAATAGAAGCCGATGGGCACCGGTTGTGTTTCATGTCAAGAGAGGGAGAATTAATGGAGAAACGATCATGGAGGAAGAGATCTTGCCTGGGGCACACATAGACCTTATCCCCAGCACCATTTTTGGCAATGACAATGAAGACAATCCTGTTTTTGTGTATGCTCATCTTGATGGAATGGACGCACAATTGTGGACTCCTATAGATCCAAGTATGATCAAGTATAATGCTAAGGTTTTTCTAGGATATGTGGAATATCGCAAGCCAATTGAAACTGCATTTTTTGGTGGATCTAAGTTAGGAAGGCTCAGGTCCCTTTCCTCGCTCTGATTTTGCTTTTCAATAATTCATCCGTACATTCAGTTTTCATTGTTTGCTAAATTGTTCTTTATATATGGTTTTGCAGGGTTGTTGTTAAGGTGAAAAATGCTATGAAGAAGGCCATGGATAAAATTGTGGGTATAAACTGATGAGGTAAATATGTTCTGTAGCTCGATTTTTCCTTCACAAGATCTTTTGGTCCTTTATCATTGAGTTTTGACTTTTGATGTTAATTTAACATGGACATCATACTTCTATTTTGCTTTTAAGTCTTGTGCTTTTTTCTTTTCTTTTCTTTTTTTCTTTTTTTTTTTTTTTCAGGAGATTTCATTTGTCATCCAAACCATCAAAATAAATTATATATGGCATATATAAACAGGAGATTTCATATTTCATCCAAACAGTCAGACTAAGTTATGTATGCCATGTATAAACTTTCTTTCTATTGTTAGACTTTCTGGATGTACTGTTCTTGGCTCTTCACTGTTTGACATAATTATAATTATGACATCGAGTAGTAATTAGATTCTAATTTTTCCTTTTGGATCCTTAAATTGATGTTGGGATTTCATGTTTGTTTCAAGGGGAAAAGTATGAAAAAGAGGTGCGATTTCTTCATGAAGTGGTATTGGTTGTTTCTTCTTTTCTAATTAGTTTTGGAATTTTTTTTTCTCACCCAAAACTACAAAAACCCACGATTTTAATCTCACAAAATTGCAGATGTTTTCAGACAACAAGGCGAAATTTTAAAAAGGAAAAAAAAGTTGAAATACTAAAGAGTAGAGTAGAGTAGAGAAATGGGAACCTGGGGTTGTAGAGTTCTTGTGCCAGAAACTATCCCACCAGTCCGATTCAGTGGCTCTGGGTTCTGTGAGAACTACGCTTATGCTCTTGGGTTTCTTCAATTTCTTCGACGTTTTCTTTGTCTTCTTCAATTTCAGAGCAGCCATCAGAATCTGTCCTGCTTGGATCTTCTGCCGTTTTCACTAATTGAAGATTTTCGCAGCAGCGTGATGACTAGCAAAATCTGCTGAGTTCAGTGTTGACCTGAGAAAGTGAAGGTAAAAAGGAGCACAAAAACGCTAAATTGTATTTTTGGTCCATGAGCTATGGATACAATAGCAATTTGGTCTGAAACGTTCATTTTCTCCTATTTTATCTAGAAAGTTATGATTCCATATCATTTTGGTCCTTCGGTCTGTATGCCGTTAAGAAAGTGGAAGGCCCACATGATGTAATCTACACCACAGGGTCTGTCATGTGGCATTGAAGGAGTTATGCATCACCTTTGAATAGAAAAAGTTAATTACGTAATATATTATTATATTAAAAATTATTGTATATTTATCATTTTTTAACTAAGTTATCATATATTAATTTATGTTTATTTTTTGAATAAAAAATGAATTACAAAATACATGCTATGTTATATAAACCACTAAATATCAAAACATTGTAGCTTATCATTCTCAATGCAAAATTGCATTTGTAGGTTACATTATGCAACATTCATATTTTTGGAGGGGAAAATTCCTCCAATGCCAATTCTAATTCAACTCATCTCCTGCTAATTTGCTCCATAATTAAGCAAGTCATCTTGATTATCAGATAGATGCTAAAGCCAGAATAACTTAATTTACCTAAATTTTAAAGGAAATAAAAAAAAAAAAAAAGTTGTCGTATCTGGTCTATTACATCAAAAATAGCTTAGACATTGCTCCATGGCTCTGATTCATCTTTAGCAGGGTTATGTTTGTGTGAATGAAGCATGAAAATACATGCTGCCACAGCTTCTACTACTGTTAAATGTACCCATTCCTGGCCTATATTTTCAATGAAGTTAGACTTGTTCAATTTCTTCATCACTTCAGCTCCAAGGTTGGCTATTACAAGCTAAAAAACACAAGAAACATATCAAATTAGATTCAAAACAAAACTTTCGAACTCAGATTGCAATTTCTCTGCAATGAATAAGCTGGTTAATTACAACATTATGTAGAATAATATTGTTACCTTGAGCCCCCTTCTATCAGTAGTCTTCTTGACCTCTTCAAGCATGCTTATCCCACTTGTGTTAATGTTACCAACAGCTTTGAAGCAAAAAAACATAATGCATGTCAGATGGGTAAAGTAGTCTGCTAGATTTTCTAGAACAATATAGCAGGAAAAGAACAACATACCACCCATGTCCAGTATAATGTACTGTAAGCTTGTTTCTCCAGATGATTTCAGTTTGTCTTCCTCTTCATCAATCCACCTTGAGATCCTAATAAGAGTAAGCAGAATATTTGGTCAAATGGTGTAAAGGGTATACTGTTTTTGATGAGTAATGGGGGAATTGGAACTTTGTTAGTACAATTCTCTTAAGTAGCTTGCATTGGCAAAGTAAATTGGAGCATCAATTTCAAGTATGATAATTCCAGGAATACTGTTTGCATTAGGGTACTAATCAACATTTCCGTATATCATGGAATTTGGAATGTTTCCTAGAACAAAAGTCCTTGGCCTTGCTACAAACAGAAGCACCCTGAGCAATGAAATCCCAACCTGCATCCAAGACAGATAATGAATTGTTGTTACTGCTTAAACAACTATGCTTTTCTGTTGATTCAGATAAATGGATTTGATAAATTCTCATACCGCTATAACCAATCCAATCTCCACACTTCCAAAAACAACACCGACATAGGCACCCATCCAGACAATGAAATCGAATTTGTCTACTTTCCAGAGATGGATGGCAGCTTCATAGTCAATGAGACCAAGCATTGCAGCTATTATGATGGAGGAAAGAACCACTAGAGGACTGTAATCGAACAATGGTGTTAAGAACAGCAGAGTGATCATAACTGCCGTTGCCATGATTACTTGACACTGCAGTCTTGCATTCAGTATTGAAGTTCACAGCTGACCTTGAAAATGGCCCTGAAAATTTCATCCCAATGTTGCACAAATTATAATCAAAACTAGGAGATTAATCTAGCAACTGAGAACAATGCTCTTAATCAGGAATTGCGGATCCAATCTGAGCAGTTTACATCACTCCAGCACAGAGCACAAAAACCTCTGGAGGACATAGAGAAGAAGTTTTGGGTACTGAAATAGAGAAACTGTATGGGCAACTATTTGACTTGAAAAGGGTATACCAGAATTTTCAGGAAGAAAATTGCAAGGTGCTTGATGAGAGAAGGTCCTTGACGAAGGAAGTCTTTGACTTATGTGAAGAGAAGCGTAATCTAGAAGAACAAAACTCTCTTCTCCTCTCTGAAATGGTATCTCAAAGTAACATTTCTCTAATTTTCAAGAATATTATGATTGACAATTTTGAGGAAGTAAAGCAGCTCAGTTATGATCTGTGTAAACTCAACTGTGTCAATGATGGCCTTGACTAGAATTTAAGGAAAATGGAGAGGAAGCTTGAGGATATGTAGATGGAAAACTCACATCTCAAAGATACACTGCGAAGCTTGGAGAATGAGCTGATTTTGGTCCTACCAACCCAAGTATGTTTTAGTTGTGGCACATATGAGCACCCGGAGATCAATTAGCATGCATCTGGTTTGGTGCCATATAGAGGTTAATTTGTAGTTGCAGTTTATTTTGCTGGTTACTATTTTTGTAGAATCTGCAGAACCTTTTTAGCCAAACACTGTGTTCTATCCTCGTCTTTCTTGACTTTACCTTTTTTTTTTGGTCAGATCCTTAGCCCTGGCAGTTTGAACTTGTGTAGTCTTTCTGGCTTGGTCATTTAAGAAAACTACTCATTTTCTTATGAAAATATGTTTAGAAATTTGTTTTGTTAATGTTAGGCTCCAAATCATGGTTGATTGTCAAAATTCTGTGATCCTTTAGGTTGTTTTATTAGCTGTTGCCTTTATGTTACATTATTTTACTTCTTGAGCTTCTTGACTGCTTTTAATATCCAGGGTGGTTGAATATGTAGTTTCTGCTTTTAACTCGCCTAGGCATTCTTATCGGTTATCAGCAAAATGTTAAATGGTACTTAAAAGGAAGTCAAAACCTTGTATTTGCCATTGACTCTAAGTTTATCTTGATGGGCTGGATCTCAATGGTCAACTCAGTGTATAAAATTTTTCAACCATGCAATTGGGTTTTTTAGTTACTCTCCACTATTTCTTGACTCAAAGATGTTTTATGTACATTTTCCTGGATGCTAATGTCAGGTGGACTGCACGCTGAAAGCTGTAAGAAGACAAATGAAGATCAATTAACAGTTCCTGACAGTTTTTCTGACATGCAATATATGGAATTCAGAATTAAATCTATTGAAAAAGCACTAATGGAAATGGAGAAGTTTGCAATGCTGGAAAGAAGAAATGCTAATTCCAGATTAGAGGCTGCTATGAGACAGATTGAAGAGTTAAGGTCTGGGAACCACTCTGGTCGAGAAAGTACTCGAGCAAAGAAGCATATGAGTGCAAAGCGAGAGGATGGTCATTTTCTCAGTAATGATCTTAAGATGCAGAAACCAACACCTGAAATCTCTGAAGAGAGCAATGGTGTGATGACAAAAGACATTATGCTTGATCAGGTATCTGATTGTTCATCAAATGGGTTAAGCAAGAGACACAATTGGGAGATTGATGATCAAATGCTTGAGTTGTGGGAAACTGCCAACTGCAATGGCAGCATAGACCTGAAAGTTGGAAAGGCTCGGAAGGGAGTTACCATGCCAACCGATCACCGTAACATTGAACTGGTTAAGCAACGTAAGGGAAAAAATCTCCCCACTGAATCTCGGGTAAAGGAGCTGGGTGTGGACAAATTAGAGATCCCAAAGAGATATGCAGAGCCAGACAAGGAAGGAAGCAGGAGGAAGATTCTAGAAAGGCTAGATTCTGATGCACAAAAGTTGACAAACCTTCAAATCACCGTGCAGGACTTGAAGAGGACGGTGGCTATTACTGAGAAGGCCAAAAAGGGGAAGGGACTTGAACTTGATACTGTTAAAGGGCAGCTGGAAGAAGCTGAGGAAGACATCATGAAGCTGTTTGACATAAATCGCAAATTGGTGTCTCATGTTGAAGATGGTTCCTTGTCCCTTGATGGGAAATCCACAATAGAGTCAGATGGGAACAGAAGTCTCAGGAGGCGGACAATATCAGAACAGGCACGGAGAGTGTCTGAAAAGATTGGGCGATTGCAGTTGGAGGTGCAGAAGTTACAGTTTCTTTTATTGAAACTCGATGATGAAAAAGAAAG